AAGGAATATTATAGGCCTACTACTACGTATAACATCAATGGACGAAAGGCCATATCAACTTCCATCAAAGAATTTAAAACGAAAAATAAAATAATGAGGGAACTGAAACGAACTTGAAGAGTAAAGCACTAAGCTCACGGAGGATTGCCTGAACAGCCTTCATACTCTTGGAAGGATGTAGATATACTATTAAATTTGCATCAGATACCTTCAGCCCTTCCATTGTAACTGAAATCACTCAAAAGGAACGATTTCACTGAAATGAGCTTGACATAAAATATAAGGGCATACAGATGAAAAGAATTATAATACTAAATCATAAAATCTCTTATCATGTCTAGAACCGGTATGGAAAGTAATCTAAGGATGGGTACAGGACCAGTATGGGGTGGGTTCGTCCACCTCCATAACTGCAGCGCAAGTAAATATATATACATACCCCGTGTAGGTAAAAAAACTCATCACCCACCATCACCACACAAATAAACAATTTTATCCGTCACCCATCTCATTATCCGTATGAAAAAAATTATTATAAAATAATCAACTAACTAATTAAAACCTACTTAAAAATATCACACATTAATCAGAATAAAATATAATTTAAAATAACATCATAAACCTAATTAAAACCCATTAGTAAATATATATATATATATTAATTAGTATTCGTAGTAAAGAAAACTACAACTTGCAAGAGGCAAAAGAACATAAAGATGAATTATATAATAAAATTTAGAAAACATTTTTCTTCTTTGCAGTCTTAAATAATCAACTAGCTTTGAAAGGGATAATATCTGTTTATATCATCAATATAATCTCATCATGATAAAAAAAAAATTTAATGGAATCTCTCCCTGCTTCGAAAAGATATGAGCTCCAAGAGTTCAAGTCCTGGAAACTGAATTTAAAGAGTAAATAAACATAAGAAATTAATGGGAAGATGAACAAGGGAGCAAAATATCTGAGCCATGTTGCTGAGCATAATTTATTAAGAATTTAGAATCATACTCTACTACAATCCCAACAAGCTGTCTAACCTAAGAGATTTCTTGCCATTCATATTAAATTAGTTACAGCTAATTCAGTGTGGAAGGGAAGATTAAAAAGGCAATTTTACAACCTCGCTTATCTATTTTTTCAGTTGGGGAAATTTGAGAGCCGATAGAAGGGAGGGAACTAAAGCAATTTCAGCTCCTTTTCTATTATTCATAGCGAGAGCAAAATTTTTGGATGATCCTTTCTCTAGTTTTCTGTTCAGAGATATAATTCCGCTTTGCGCAGATTATTGAAATCTCTAATTTTGATATGATCGTCACTAGGAATAAGAAGACATCTATATATATATACCACATAAATACAAACTGAGAAACCACCTCAAAGGAGAGCGTAAATATCTTCAGAAGCCGGGAGGAGCCGCTGCTGTGAAGAGCAAAAGAGGCGCAACTGCGGCCACGAGCCGCCTCTTCCTCCAAAGTTCAAACAAACGAGAGAGGGAGGGAGAAGTTCAAACTCTGGCTCGGTCACAACCGCGGTCGTGAAGACGACGGGAAGAAGCGAGACACGGCCGCACTCTACTTTTGGCTCTGTTGATTTGGACAAGGAGTGTAAGAAGTGAAAAACCCTATTTGTTCTATATATTTACAAACTCAAAAACATCTCTGGAGAGGAAGAACTTTCCCAGAATCATTTATATTTTTAGTTCTCGTACATAAAAAGTCTGATTCAGTGCTTGTTTTTTGTATTTCTTTTGTTTGGGCCTTGGGTCAAATTTAATAAGGTGAAAATAATTGATGGGGGTGGGCTCTTTTATTAAGCTTCAAAAATTTAGGCTATACAAATACAAACTGTTTGTTGTCTTTTGGGTCGTCTGTGGTAATATAGCCCAATCAACTTTACTAATGTAATCATACTGTTCTTCATTAACCCATAAAATAAAACTGAGTATGCACGTAAGCCATTCAAATTTACTGAAGAGAATTACAATATGAAGGAAAGCAAGGACCGACCATATTATATATATATATATATATATATATTTGAACATTTTCTATGCGTTGATAGGCCATGTATAATATAATTATATGTTTTTTTTTTGCATTTACAATACGAACTCTTAGTGTTTGCTTAATATGGTGGTATATGTTCAGAACAGGTTTTTTATAAATAATACCATGTATGAGTATGACCTTATTCAAATTGGATAGAGGAGTTGGGGGATTTGTTGTGAACCAATCAATGAAATGAAATATCAAATACATATATATATATATCAATTAATAGTTTATATGTATTAGAATTGTAATATCTCACCTTAAATTTGATTCGGAATTAATTTTAAAATTAAAAAATAAAATAATATAATATAAAAAAATATAAATTTTAAATCTATAAATTTTTATTTAATATAAAATTAGAAAAAAAAATAGTCAGATAATGAAATTGAAAATAATTTTAAAAAAAATTGGTAAAAATTTAAATTTTGATGTATTTTTAAAAGAAAAATAAAAAATTGAGGGTAAAAACGCAATTAAAAAAAATTATGTCATGTAGGATTACTCAGTCAACAACCTTGACGAACCGGAGCGCGCCACGTAACAAGACACACTAACTCGATGTCACGCTAGCAATCCGCGTGCCCGCAACCGAACGGCCCGAAGCATTCTCGCGCGCGTGAATGGTCCCGATCCGTTCCTCCCTCAAGCATAATTAGACAGTCGCGATTAAACACGATGAATAGCACATATCCGTTCATTTTTTAAATACAATCGTACGATCTAGATCAAATTGCGATAAACGGTTCAAATTCATTTTCTCTTTAAACGCGATTGAACCAGTTGCCGGACAAGAGAGCCGACCGCCACCTGCCGTCGCGCCAGAGCCACCTACGACCACCAAAAAAGATAAAAATTCTCATATCAGCTCAGAATTTAATTTTGAATACCCCCATGGCCAAATCGGAACAACAGGAATGATGGATGAGTTGAAAATCGCGGGTAAAGCCTCGTAGGTAAAATCAAAAATTGCCTCTAACGAGCCCCTTTTCGTTTCTCATTTCCTGCAATTTTTCCACCATTATGTTTACTATTTTATTTTTTACAAATTAATCGAAGAAAAATGCTCAGCCGCGAATGTGACCCGGCGAAGCCGCCGCACAAGAAAATTCCAACACTAGCAAGGTTTTTATTTTTTTTGACTTTTTTCGGTTAATCGAGACCCTCCTAACGTATTTTCTCGCAGTGATTGGTATAAAACCGGCCAAAACTGGTCGAAAATGGTCAGTCCAAACCACCACCTTTAACGGCTGTGCTGTCACCGGAGCACGGTGCTGTCGCCGTGCTAGAATTTTAAAATTGGCCGAAAAAGATTTTTAACACTGATTTTGAGTTTTTTTATGTATTTTTATATACGTGAACTGTGTTTTAATCTCTGCATAAAAATTCAGAAAATCCGATGATCGCCAGTAGACGCAGTTGAAAGTTTAGTGTTTCGAACACCGATTTGTGTAAGAATCATTCACCTTATTCTATATTATAAAATTGAAGTTTAATTATCAATAATACGATATTTTGCGTAATTTAAAAAATTTTGAAAATTAATTATAAGTTACTAATGGAGACATAATCGGTTATTTATTATTGTTGTTTTATTTAACTGATTTGTTTGATTTTATAGCTTTAAATGCATGATAATATACTGTAATTAATAAAATGATTTAGTTATGTTTTCTTTATGCATATATTGCTTGTCTTTGCATTGATTTATGGTTAAATTGTGAAACTGAAAATTAAATATAAACAGAAAATTGATTGGTAAGTAAATGAATAGATGGTAGCCTTACTGAATATTATGAGAGATGGTGGACGAAGCGGGTACATAGGGAATCCTATCGTGAACATCGTCTCATACCGGATGGGGTATCGACGATTGATATTTTTAGCGCTTATATCGGACGGGATATGGGGACAACCCATTTCACCCTCATACCAGACGAGATATTGAGGAATGATATTTTTGGCGCTCATACCGGACGGGGTATGGGGATGATCGATTAATTGACAAGGTTGGATGTTGGTTCACGCGTAGTGGGACATCGTTATGGACCCCCATAGATACCGGTAGATAAATAAAAAAGAAAAATTGTTATTCTTGCTTACTTGAACAAGAGATTATGATGTTGTTGAACTATTATCTTTATAAGTCGTTTTTTGAAAAATCTCACAACGGTAAGTATGTAATAAATGATTTTACTTATGGTAAATGAATTTACTTAAATTAAGAGTTACATTAGTTATTTTTATAATTTTTACCAACCTTCAGTTTATGTGTCGGTGAGTAATGTGATATTCTTACTGAGTTAGTGTAGCTCACCATTTCATTAATTATTTCAGATCAAGATGACCAAAACTCATATCCCGATCAACAAGATGGTTGTGAATAGTTCACTACCCGAACTCTTTTTCAAAAGTTAGTGAATGTCGTTATAGAATGTTCAGCGTACTGCATTTTATTTATTTTTTTAATTTTCATTTGTTATTTTAGAATTGTTATTCTTGTAATCTTATTAGTCATTCTAAATTATTGTGTAAGTAATGTAAATATTAAAATCTATTATTTCACTTCTACATTCAATTTATAATTTTTTTTTTTAAGTTCCGTATCGTTACAAGAATTAAATAAAATTATCTCACATATATATATTTGTATTGGTTATATATATATATATATATATATAATTCCATTCTCTCTCTTATTTTATTTGGATTCTCCTATTGCAATCTTTAGAATAAAGATTATTATTATTTTTTTGGTTGTAATTTAAAAAACAAAATATGGATATTGGGTAGTAATAAAAAAAAATTTGAAAAGCATGGCGTGGCTATTTTTAAATGATAATAATAATAATAATAACAGAGACAAAATGGAAATGGGGATTGATCAGAAGAATCAGAAGCAAGTGTTCCCTTACATCCCTACATTTCTTTCTGCTCTTATGTTCCCTCCACCTTCACTCTCGATTATCATCCCTCTGGACCCCACCCCCCCAGCAACAATCTTCTATTTCTTTTTTTTTTTTTTTGTCTTTTTATCCTTGTCTCTTTCTAATATATATATATATATATATATTTATATTTATATCTAACATTTTTCCAATTCTCGTTAATATGTGAATTCATGCCCATCATTACACCATTTATCAAACACCATCATTTATTTATATGATTAATATTGAGAATATGGTGAAGCGAATGATGGCAGGTTTCCCCCCCCCCCACACATTATTGCGCATTGCTCCAAACTAATAATGACCTGCAAAAGCATATAAAATAAAAACCAACCACTTACTACTACTTCCCTATAAATTTAATTTAACAGGCAATAAAACGGTGCCGTTTCATTATCTTTCGGCAGTCAAAGGAGCAGCATCATTGACTCGACCCGCCAAATTGATTGGTATTTTGATGGAAAGCTCATTTTGTTGACTTTTTATTCATTTGCTTAAACAGTTAATCATCCTTTGTTTTTTGTTTTATCTTGGGCTTTATCTTCTAATTAATTAAATTAAATTATATCACGTACTAATAATCTACGTACATTTATTCCACGGCGGGTCTTGTTCTAAAATGAATACCAAATATATATGTATATGTAATAAGAATCAACGAGGTGCATGTCTGCCGCGTGTAAGAAGATCAACGGCTGTGGATGTCCGAAGTACGTACGTATTCCCAACTGAGGGTTTTTAAGTTCCGAAGTCATTGAACTCCGTAATTTTACGGATAATTTCTGCATCAATTCACGCGCCATACACATGCCCATCACGTGCCATCTCCTCCCAATATTAATTATAAACAAAACCTTTCCTGTTTTCATTCCTCGTCTACGCGTCAAACTCTCTCGTTTATTTTATAAACAGTCTTTTATTTATTTTTAATAAATATCAATTAAATAATACATAAATATAAATAGTAACATACAACATTCAAATAAATACAATACAGTTTAATTCAAAGTAACAATCTCATAAATACATTAACTGTTCAGTTAAGTACTATTTAATTATTTTAAATACACAAAAAAATAAGCGTGTTATTTTAATAATTATTATATTTAAAAAGAACAATTTTTTTTTATTATTTTTTACATAAAATATGTATCTTAAAGTTATATAAGATTATATAATTACTAAAATAACAAATTTATTTTAATGTCTAATAATAAAAAAAAAAATTGTTGTAATCAAATATCACAAAATAAATCAACAAATTTTAAATTTTAAATTATTTGAACAAAAATAAATAAAATTTTATTTAATTAATTAAAAATATTTTTATAAATAGAGGATTTAACAACTTTAATTTATAATTTAGACACGTAAATTGTGAACTTAGAAGCAATATTTTTAAAAATAGTTGAAAATGTGTAATTAAAAAATAAAATATTTTAACATCAAATTGGTGTAAGGCTTTTTCTAATAATATTTTTCAAAACGTGTTTTTACGAACAATAATTTCGTAAAAATACCTAATAACTGATTTTCAAAATAAAAATATAAGTTTATCATCGCTATATTATATGAGATAATGGTTATTTGTCATTAACATAATTAATGTGAAAATAAATTATATAACTAAGTAGACAAGTGATAGTCTACCAAGATCCATGGCCAACAGCGAGAAACAATAATCCAAATATAAGTATAAAAAACAATGATGCGTTTTGGTTTTCATGGCAACTTGACATTTGAGTCAAAGACATCGGATGTCGATCTCACATTCAAATGTCTTTCTAAAATAGTACAAACCATCACAAATTCTCGATCTTATTCATAATTTAACGAGTTAGATATGTTTACTCAAATTTCTCATAATGAGGAATTTTCGATACAGGGTGTCGAATAGATTCAATATATTTACATTTGAAAAATTTAGTTTTAAATACTTGAGTTCATAATTTATTTTATTCGATCATGAGGTTCATCATAGTTTTATGAGAAACACGCTACTGTGAGTGATGATGTAATGAATAATAAAACTTCCCGAATTTTTTAAATAAACACACAATATATTGTTTTACTATGTAGACTCTACTTGTCCCGATCCTCTTGCACCAAAATAAAATAATGAGTAAGCTTGTTGAGTTTGTTTTAGACAAATATATAAATAATAATATGCATTATGTATGAGGAAAATATAAAGAGCACATAGACGTAGACAATTGTAAGATTTGCCATCTCATAAGCTTTATTCTAAACTCACTCAATAATTCCATAATATATATGTATGGAGAATATGCTTATTTCATTCTTAGAGTTATATCTCAAAGAATAAAATTATCGATTTAAATAGATTTGTTTATTGGCTATAGTTTTTACGAATTTAATGGTATACAAATTTTTTTAACAAATTTAGTTGCACAATTTAAAAAATTTCATAATAAAGTTTTTTGCTTTTAATTTTAAGATAGAGTAAATGAAGTTAAAATTCTTAATTTAAGTTCTAAGATATAAAAAATAGATTATAATAGTATTGAATGAAAGAGGGGATGGATGGGTGTGAAAATGTGAAGGAAGAAAAGTGTGGATCTTGAGGTGGACGAGGAGAAGCTCAAATGACGCGTAAGTCTTGGTATTATAAAAAAAGGTATTATATTGTAGAAATTAATTGATTGATTAATTAATTAATTAATTTTGCATTAAGAATTAAATTAAGATGGAAGGGTTGGGCCCATGGTAGAAAAAGGTCGTAATGTGAGAAATACTAAGCTTACAAGTAATTTATTTTGTCATATAATTGGCATGACACAATTCTTTCTTTGGCGTTTTCAACCATCCAAAATATTTCCACGTTGTTTGTGCATCATGCCAACATGATTCTACTTATATATATATATATGTATGTATGTATGTATGTATGTATGTATGTATATGTTCCTTCCCTCTTCTTTTTTACTTACTTGCCTTCCAACACACACACACACACACACACAACAGAGTACAAGCGTCTCTAAGTTTTCAAAATCTATACATATATTTGAAGAATTGTGGGTGAGTTGGTTTTACCCTTTAAATTCTCGTTAGACTAAACAATTATCGATAAAGTTCTGATACAGAATTAAGGTGACGTGACCCAACTGAACCATGCTTGTGGAACATGTAAGTTCTTGTTAATTTTAAATTATGACTAAACACTCCAAAAGATTTCCTTGAGCTTAAAAATAATGCTATGGCTACTAACCTCAATGAGTGTAAAAACGGCGCCGTTAAGGCCACACCGCCACCTAACACGTGTCAGTATCGATTACGTTTGCCTCTCTTCCTAGATTTGTCGTGAACCGCACGCGTGACGAACGGTCAAATACCAGACGGACAAAGAACAGATTTTTCTTCTTTTTTTTTTTAAAAAGTAAATAAATAATTAGTACGTAAGATATTATGCAATGCTAAAATGCGCCACCCTCACACTCCTTTTCCTACGCTCACCACCACCTTCCCTCCTTTCCCCAAAAATGAAAAATTATCTAACCATATGTACAGTGTATGTACGTACTGTTTTCGTGTTCTCTTAGTCTTGCCTGCCTTTTGAATTTCTTTAATGTTTCTTTTTAAATTTTCTTCAGACTCTAAAGCTGCAAGGGAATCGACATATGCAGAAAGTGCGCGCACAGGATAAGAGCATGCACACTCTTTCCCATTCTCATTTCTCAAGCAAACGCAGTTCGGACAGAGAGAGAGAGAGAGAGGAAGAAAGAGAAATATGGTTTTTTTATAACAGAGAGAAAGAGAAAGAGCTTTTCTTTCTTGTAATTTGTTGAGTGTGTGAAGTGATGATGAGGGAGTGGGTTCATCGAAAGGTCGGTTTCTTTTCGAGATAAAAACAACAGAGACCACCCGTGCTTCGTTTCGCGTGCTTTTTCATGCTCTAATGCCCCACTTCTATTCTTCTTTTCTTCTTTCCAGATTTTGTTATTTCACTTTTCTGCTTAATTCAATTGGGTTCTTTTTTTTTTTTTTTTTTTTTTTTTCTCGGAAAGTTAGATTCCCATCGCATTTCTGCACTCTCTATTTCTTCCCTTCTTTTCGATTTCCTCTTGTTAGCTTTCTGAAATGCAAAATGGGACTTGTTTCCTTTTTTCCTTCTGTCATGTGGATCTTTGGCCCTTTTTTACTTCAATCAACATGAAGCTCTCTTCTTGACTTCTTCCGGGTGGCTATGGCTTCCGTTGAAGACAATATCAAAACAAGTGTTCTACTTACTGGGCCTGCACAAACTACTCTGTTCGAGGAGATGAAATTGCTGAAAGAAATGCAGGATCCATCTGGTTTGTTTCCTTCATCATAACAAACTTGCCTTCAAAACTTGTGTGTGTCTGTTTGTTTTTTTTTTTTTTTTGGTTTCGTAAGTAAACATTTATGTTTATTTCCTAAGAAGTGTTAATGGAATTTATTTGGTTTGGTTTCAGGGGATCGAAAGGCTATAAATTCGGAACTATGGCATGCGTGTGCAGGGCCCCTTGTTTTCTTGCCTCAAGTGGGGAGTCTTGTCTACTACTTTCCTCAAGGACATAGCGAACAGGTTTGCATTTATTGTTGGTTATTCATTTCTTCTTGGAGAAACTTACTTTAATATTTACTGTTTTTACAGTGTTATTATATTTTTACTTAGGATTCAACTAGTTCATCAAGTCGAACCCAAATGAGTTTGATCCAAGTTTAATAACTTAGAGATCGTAACACTGACACTCTAATTTAATCATGGTGATTGAAAATTCAATCTTCTAAAACAATTTATGCCGGTTCCGTTTTGGCAATCTTGTCCGCAGTACTAACGGACATCATTTTTTTTGTTTTTTTTTGGAGCAGGTGGCTGTTTCCACTAAAAGAACAGCTACTTCCCAAATCCCCAATTACCCAAATCTTCAGTCTCAGTTGATGTGCCAAGTTCACAATGTTACTCTACATGTATGTCTGTTCTGGCTATTTTTCTCTGCCATGCATGTTTTTATTATATAATGTGCCACAACATCAATAATCTTTTCTCCGTTGCATATTTTCTTGATAGGCAGACAAAGATACAGATGAAATTTATGCTCAAATGAGTCTTCAACCTGTGAACTCGGTAAGCCTGCTATTCTCAAATGCTTCTGGTATTTTCTGCATGCACAAGTTTTGTCCTCCTTGAAAAAATTAGGGGAGCAAGTTCCTCCCATTGTTTTCCTCATTCCCCTTTGTCCCCCTAGAAAAACTAGGCTGAAGAAAATTTTATGCCCGACAAACTTCTCTTACCATGGCATTTGAATTAGGAAAGGGATGTTTTCCCTATACCAGATTTTGGACTTAGACTCAGCAAGCATCCGAGTGAGTTTTTCTGTAAAACTCTTACAGCAAGTGATACAAGCACACATGGTGGTTTCTCAGTGCCGCGTAGAGCAGCAGAAAAGCTCTTTCCTCCATTGGTGAGGTTTCATAATGATCTATGAGAACTTGGAATGTTGCAAAGTTGTTGTGGTATTTAACATTGTATTTTTGCTATTTAGGATTATACAATGCAGCCCCCAACCCAAGAGCTTGTTGTCCGAGATTTGCATGATAATACTTGGACTTTTCGTCATATATACCGCGGTCAGGATGCTTTCCAACCTTCTTTCCTGCTTAAATCTTAGTTTTACCTTATTATGTGAACTTCTTGTTGTGGAATTTGATTCTTTATATTCTGCAATAGGCTTCTCCCCATCTGTTATAGTAATTTTGTAACCTTATGGTTCATATAAAAGTTTACATTCTTTTTTTCGATTTTCTCCTAGAATGAGCTGCATAATTTATCTTTTATCTGTATTTGTTGTTTTATGCAGGGCAGCCAAAGCGGCACCTTCTCACAACAGGATGGAGTATGTTTGTTGGCTCAAAAAGGCTCAGAGCAGGTGATTCTGTTCTGTTTATCAGGTAATCTATATTATTCATATTCCTTCAGTGTGATATGCCTTGAATACTGAGGAAAGGTATGAGAAGTAGAGATCTATGATTGGGGGGACCTTTGCTGTTGTCCTTCAGCAACAATATGATTGGTGGTCCATTATTGGCAATTTGCAATATATGCACCATCCATCCA